CGAGCTGGGAGCATGAAGATACACTTTGGTAGTTCACGGAGCATATCCAGCAGTTCAAGCAAGAAAACGCGACGAGGGCGTCACGAGCTTAGGTGGGGAAGAATGTCACGCCCCGCAACCAAGAGGCTACGCCACGCAGGCACCACGCAGACGCCCAGCAAACGATGACATGGAGCCTGAATGGACCGGAGCTTTCTAAACTTCTCTACACAAGTATGGAACTTTCCGGAATTCTCTAGATTAGTGTGGAGTTGTCTAGCCTTTTCTAGACTTGTCTAGAGTTATATAGAATTCTCTAAACTTGTCTTGTACATTGTAGATAGTTCTAGAATTGTGTAGATATATCTTTGGAGGATTCTAGACACTTAATCTAGGCCACACATTTGTACACATCTAGAATATTCTTGTAAGGGCCAAAGGCCTATAAATAGGAGGTGGGAGTTCATTTGCTCCTTACCAAGCAACCTAAGTTGTAATCTCTTATCAAGTAATACAAGTGTTCATACATTCCCAAACTCTCTTGCTCACTTGCCTACATCTCTTCCTACACACCCAAGTAAACAAAGCACTTGTCTAACCTTAGTCTTCACTAAGCTAGCACACTCAGGTAGGCTGACTTAGCACTTCAAGGGGGCTTGAAAGTGTCTAAGGCCGTACATGAGCTTGGAAAGGTCCAAGTCCGTGACATTATGCTGACATGTTCTAACAAGAGAATGTCATGTGTCAAATAAAATTGAATATTTTTTTTTTTTTTTTTTTTTTTTTTTGTTTGTATCTAACGATGGTTAGATTTTACGCCCCTTCTCACCACCCCTCCTACCACCTCCCCAACCATTCCCGAAACCTCTCTAACGTTACACACAGTCTCAACTTCTCACCACCACCACCACCTCTACTATCACCACCAGGACTGCCACCACTTCAAACCAATATATATGGGTTAGGGCGATGGGTAAAATGACAAAGCGAGAGCACCACCGTCGCCACCCACGCCGAGAAGCTTCAAGATGGCATCAGCCGCCCGCGCAGTTTCGAGGTCCTCTCTCGCCACCGCGTAGTTCCGAGGTCCTCTCCCACCACCACGACCTCTTCTCTCAGCTCTTGTCCCTCGCCACCTGCCGATCCGTCATCTCCACCCTCCAATCTTCCGTCCGCAGAGTCCGTTCCGAGATCGCTGACCCGCAGCGCCAAATCTTCCGCCTCTCCAAAAAACTCCACGAAGTCATGGCCGCAACCGAATGAGGGTTTTGGAGAGGATTATTGTTCTATCTTTGGAGGTTGGGATTTGAAGGCCAAATATGCCATTTTTCTTGCCAAAATGAGGGTTTAGATATAGGTTTTTAGCAGATCTGTTAATATGGATTCCGTGGTAGTTGTGTTGGGGACTGTAAGGGTGGCACATAGATTTGAACAATTGGGATTTGGTAGCATGTTTGAGAAAGATCCAAAGATGGTGAGGAGAGGACCGGCAGAGTAGACGACATGTTCTTTGTCAGCCGCCGGAGACTTCGAAGCAGAAAGAGAAGAGGCGTAAGATCTAACCATGGTTAGGTTTATTTTTTATTTTTTAACTTTTATTTGACACGTGGCATTCTCTTATTGGTCTATGTCAGGAATTATTTATTGTAAGATCTATTACGAGTTTGGATAGGACAATAGTACGGTTTATAGCCGTAATTATGTGATTGTACTATGTTTCTTATGATATTTTTTGTAATTAGAAATTTACAAACAAAATTCTTTATTTTTAGACCCCTTTTACTACCAAAATAATAATAAAAAAAAAAGTAAATTAGTAATATTTTTTACTTTCTAAAATAGATTTTTATTTTTTATTTTTTTATTTTTTATCTTTCATTTTTTGGTTTTGTTTTCTTTTATCTCATTTATTTTATTTTATTTTTCATTTTCTTTCTCTTTATTTTTTCTTTTAAAACACAAGTATTTAACCAGACTTGGAAATAAAAATGGTGCTAATTGTAAAATAAATATATAAAAAGGAAAAAAAAAAATCATATGGACTTGTTACTCGTAGTATTGAGTTTAAAGTGTATATATGAACCTAATACATAAATACTTATTTTTAAGCTTCTGTTTTTGACTTTTAGCAATGGGCGATGAATAGAACGGATTAACGGACATTTAATGACCATGACAATAGAAAATGACTAATATACCCGTAAACCAGATTTCACAGTAACCCACAACATTGATCAACTCAGGTGCATTTAGTAACGTGTTTGTTTTTTTATTTTCGTAGTCTTAAGAAAGCAAAATTAAGATTTTGTTTTCTTGAATGAAAATAAAAAGCAGAAATAATATTTATTAACACTAGTTGTTGTCACAAATTTGAAAACATAAAACAATAACAGTGTTTAGTAATACAACACATGTATTTGTTACAAAATGTTCATAATATTCTTTAATTTTTTTATTATTTTTTTTAATTTTTAATTTGTATTTTAAATTTTTCATGACAAGAATTTTAAGAGTTAGTGATTAAAGGTGGGGGAGAGTAGATGACTTAAACACGAACTCTCGAACACAGAAAGCAACCCACGACACTTGCTTCCATTAGTATAAAAAAGCCATAATTTAGAAAATTTAATTTAAAATTATAAATCTTAAAAATACCCAATACATCACAACCAATTATGTATATAAATATGCATAATGTATACATTTATTATGTGATATATAATATATTTAGTATATGATAATTTATTATGAATAAAAAAATATTAAATAATATATCTTATATGTAATAAAATATATATTGTGTTATAATATTGTAAATTAATTATAGTTTAATATTTACATATAATATAATATAGATATGATATTTACATATAATATTGTATAAATATTGTATAATATTTACATATAAATATTGTATAATATTAAAAATTATATTCTATATCAAAAATTAGTAATTTAATAATATTATATTCTATATCAAAAATGATTTTTTCACAAAAAATAATTTATATTATTATTTAATATATTATATATTAAAATATATTTTTATCAAATAAAAAATAATATATAATATTTAATATATTCTATGTTAAATATATATATTTTTATTAACATTTAATATGCAACTTAGTATATAACACAAACAATATGAATTTTATTTGAAATAAATAATGTCTATATAGTAACATTAGTGAAAACATTTCTGTGCTATAGTGCCAAAAATATAGGAAACATCTTTTTGTGTTTGCTCTTTTCTTCACAAAAATTTAAAACGTTTTCTATTATAAAAAAACAAAAATATTTTATTGAACGCAATTTTTGTTTTCGTTTTGCCTTTTTAAAAGTTGGCAACAGAAAATAAGAAATGTTTCTCGTTACTAAACACACCATCATCTTCTCTAAATCGCATTCAGCCATTTGCCACAATCAAAACAAAAAAAAGGCCAAATTTAATTAACCAAAGAAAAACACCAATTTTCCAAATCAAGCTATTAAACGTCTTATGCTCTATCTAAATTTGAGCATAAATGTTGCATTCCTTTGTCACGTCAACAATCTCATTGGAACGGAAAAAGAAATTATGGCAATGATGTGAACACTCTCAAATATTGTATATTCATTGTAGTATTATTTTTTATCTGCATTTCATGACTCATAAGTTCCATTTATATGAATTCAATGGCGAATGGAAGTTGAAGTGAAATGACAAGTAGTATTACAGTTTTTTTTTTATGATTATTATTATAAATATAAGGACTTATTGGCTTGTTTGATGGAGACAAAGTCATAATGTTAAAAAAATTATATTAACCAAAATGCAGACAGTCAATATATAAAAAATTATTATCTTCGAAATTACTATTATTATTTTCAGATACCACTTTTGTCTTGGGTGATAAGGATATTACTTTTATGCACATTGATACTACTTTTTTGTGCACACACGTCTACTTTTTGTGCACACACACACACATATATTTTTTTGCAGTACAAAAAATGGTACCTAATGACATGGTAAAAAATAAATAAAAATAGTACATGCTTGCACAAAAATTAGTACTAATGTGCATAAAAGTTATCCTCTATACCCAAGATAAAAGTATATATATAAAAATATTATTTATAGTAAGAAATTTCAAAAATAACTCCGGTAGCTCTGGATGATTGAAATGAAAAAAAGAAATTGTAAATAACTTGTTCATGCTTAACATGTAACATAACTCTTTTTTTTTTTTTCGTTTTTTTTTTTTTTTTTCAGATAAACAAGAAACTTTTAAATTTGATTTTGAATCAAATCATATTTATCAAATAAATAGGTAAATATAGTTATATATGAATGGGGTCAAGGAAAAATGCTTTGGAACAGGGATTGCCAACAAATTCAAATCAAGTCTGAAGATGGTGACTGGTCACATATACCAAGGCTAAAATTGTCTAGTTGCCACCCTTGGATGCCCTTACATACTAGGGCAATTGCACCCCTATGAAGGGATGCCCCTACAAACTAAGGCAATTGAAAAACTACAGGAAATGGAGAAACTAAATATTGATTACAGAAAAAATCAACTCAGACCAAGGTAAACGTGACAATGGTAATATACTGGGCATATACTGGCCATGCGTGCTTTGGGAATTCGTGTGTGGCGGTCGCTCTGAGTCCCCTCGGTCCTTTGCCACTCATTTTGCCCTAATTGTGGGTTGAAAAAAAAAAAAAAAAAAAAACGTGTAGTAAAGTGGCACTGTAATTGCCCCATTAAGTAGCCAGTGTTGAGAAAGGCAGCATTATAGGGTATTATACTTTCACCACATCAACTGGGAGCATAAAAAGAGGGGACTGCTTGTCAATGGAATGGAAAACATGGTAGATAAAAATGGCAAACTGAACGTGGCGACAAGACATTCAATTCAACACAGTTTCATTGCAAGACGAAATGACGAAAAATAAAATAATAAATGTACATAAAAAAAAACACACCTATTTAAACTCATTGATTAAATGCTTTAGAGTACACACCATGCAATACAGGAAAAGAGCTCTCATTTCTCCGAGTCGTCCTTCTCCTAGGAGTTATCTCAGTTATATTTATTTAATTATATGTCTTACAAACTTGATCTCATATTCCATACAGATAAAAATACATGTTTTTCACCACATAAAAATGCTCAGCACAAAAAAACTAAATAAAATTAGATTTGACCAAAAGAAACTCAAAACAATTAAGTCTCAACTCAATTACCTAACACAGTTGGCACAATCCAAATTGAGGGTGGCATATCCTTATGTGAAGGATCAAGGATGTAATGCGTCCCAAATCTTCCACTTTCTATGTTGAAGATACCAATGTCGCGGCGCCCATATGGAAGATGATGTAGAATCTCAATATAATCATCTGTGTAGTAGATGGAATCTGGCTGGCATCTGGGCCATTTGGAAGCTGAAACACAAATGGATTGGTTATCTCCCAAAAACAGGGTGTCTCCACCCAAGTTCTTCACTTCAACCAGCATAGGCCAACCCTGCTCAAGTTGCTCTAAGAGCAACTTAAAAACCTTAAACCTTGAAGTTGCATGCTGTAAATCGTCTCCAACTTGTAAAAACCTTTGTACAAGAAGTAAATCACCACTAGATGATTCAACAAGATACGTCCATTGAGAATACACATTAGTCTGCGGTGTAATTACCTTCACTTGCGGAGCCTTACTCTTCCCATCCCTTCTATTAACATCAATCATTAGGACTCTACTCCTAAAATCAACAGCAAAAATCGGGCCTTTATAATATACGACATCAAAGATGAGCTGAAATCTTTCTTTATCTATGTAAGTCCAAGCTTGTCTCCGGGTAGAATGAATGCGAGTCTTCTGCAACCACTATAGGTGGCGGTAACAATATAGTCATTAGGATACAAAGCAGGGTCAGCTGACAATGTAACCTTTACAACTTCAAAGTCAACCTCAATAGGATCATTGTCATCATCGTCATCGTCATCGTCATCGTCATCGCTTTCATCAGGAGGATGGAAATATGAGAGGTCCATAATTGGAGGAAGCTCAATGGTAGCACCAGAGAATGGGTTGATTAAGGTTATGCCAAAGGTTTCTTCCACAGTAAACAACCAACCATGTGAGGAACCGGAAAGCCTCTTCTGATAAGGTACGCATAACTGAAAATCAAATACCTTATTATGAGTGATGTTGTATAGACCACGTCTTTCATCACTATTATCTTTCGAAGGCACCATCAAGAATGGAACTTGTTTCAAAAACTTATTTTGAATGAATTTAAGTTTGTTATCCATTGCTACAGACTGCCATGGTTTGCAAACCGCACCAAATCGAACATATTCAGAAAATGAAACCAACTTGTTCAGAATCATATCCAATAAGTTCTTTGGAAGAAATGCCCAATCTGACTCCTCCATTGTCATATCCAATAAGTTCTTTGGAAGGAATACCCAATCTGACTCCTTCATTGAATTCATCATGTTTATTTCGCTAATAGCACTGTGATGTCAATCAAATATATAATTTATAATCACAATATATAATCACAATACATCATATCTGCAATAATCAATATTCAATTAGAATGGATTTATAATTTAAAACTAATTGATTAAAAAAAAAAAAAAAACTCGTTGGATATAGTATGAATTGGTTATTACTCCGAACAATCAAAACAACTTACCTCATAAGTAATAACAATCTATACAATCGCAATAACTTACATCATATCTACAATACTCAACTCCAATGGGTTTATAATTTTTCGGTAATAAAGGTAACAGACTTGCTACTAACAAATTTGACAAAAACTATTCTAATAAAATTAATTTTCAATATTAAAATCTAATTGAGCCACTACCACTACCAAATCCAAATCCCAATCCCATAAAACAATATATATATATATATATACACACACACTGTGAATATGAACAATCAAAACAACTTACCTCAAGGCTGCAATAATCTTAAACTCCACAATTGGCGATGCAAACCTTATGAGTAAAGCTGATCTATATATATATAACGATGTAATCTTTTCATAATCAGGAAGGAATAAGAGGGACATTTCGTACAATCTTAATAGAACAATGAGTCCAGAGATTATTAGATCCGTCGTCTCCACCCTCCAATCTTCCGTCCGTAGAGTCCGTTCCGAGATCGCCGACCCACACCCGCCGATCCTTCTCGCCACAATTTTTTGGTTTGGAGTGGTGGCAGTCCTGGTGGTGATAGCAGAAGTGGTGGTGGTGGTGGTGGTGAGAAGTTGAGGTTGTGTGTAACGTTAGAGAGGTTTTGGGCATGGTTGGGGCGGTGGTAGGAGAGGGGTGGTGAGAAGGGGCGTAAGATCTAACCATGGTCATGGTTAGATTTTTTTTATTTTTTTATTTTTTTTTTAACTTTTATTTGACACATGGCATTCTCTTATTGGTCTATGTCAGCAGCAAGAATTATTGAGCGTAAAATTAGAAATTTACAGAGAAAGTTCTTTATTTTTAGACCCCTTTTATTACCAAAAAAAATAAAAATAAATTAGTAATATTTTTTACTTTCTAAAATAGAAATCTTTTTTATATTTCATTTTTTGGTTTTGTTTTCTTTTATCTCATTTTTTTATTTCATTTTTTATTTTCTTTCTCTTTATTTTGTCTTTTAAAACACAAGTATTTAACCAGACTCGGGAAAAAAAAAAATGGTGCTAATTGTAAAATAAATATATAAAAAAGAAAAAAAAAATGTATGAAATTGTTACTTGTCATTATTGAGTTTAAAGTTTAAACTGTATATATAAACCTAAAACATGAATACTTATTTTTAAGCTGCAGTTTTGACTTTTAGCAATTGGCAATGAATAGAAGGGAATAACGGACATTTAATGACCGTGACAATATAAAATGACTAATATACCCATAAACCAGATTTCACAGTAACCCACAACATTGATTAACCTCATCTTCTCTAAATCGCATTAAGCCATTTGCCTCCCCAAAAAATAAATAAAAAATAAAAAATAAATAAATAAAGGACAAGCAAAACAAAAAAGAAGAAGCCAAATTTAATTACAGAAGAAAAACAACAATTTTCTAAATCAAGCCATTGAAAAATCAGTGAGAAAATATGCATTGGTTCATTTACTCTGTTATTACCCCTTTGTCACGTAAACAATCTCATTGGAACGGAAAAAGAAATTATGGCAATGATGTGAACACTCTCAAATATTGTATATTTATTTTAGTATTATTTTTTATCTGCATTTCATAACTCATAAGTTCCATTTACATGAATTCAATAGTGAAGAGAAGTTGAAGTGAAAAGACAAGGTAATATAACAGTTTTTTTTTAAGATTATAATTATATGGACTTATTGGTTCGTCGGATGGAGACAAAGTCATAATGTTAAAAAAAATTATATTAACCAAAATGCAGTCAGTTAATATGTAAAAAATTATTCATCGTCAAAATTACTATTATTATTTTCAGATATCACTTTTGTCTTGGATAATAGGAGTATCATTTTTATGCACATAGATATTACTTTTTGTGCACATATATATCTTCTTCTTCTTCTTTTTTTTTTTTTTTTTTTTTTTTTTTTTTTTTTTTTGCGGCACAAAAAGTGTTATTTAATGACATGGTAAAAAATATAAAAATAAATAGTACCTGCTTACACAAAAATTAATACCAATGTCGCATAAAAGTTATCCACTATACGACTATACCCAAGGTAAAAGTATATATAAAAATATTATTTATAGTAAGAAATTTCAAAAATAACTCCATAAGCTCCCGATGATTGAAATGAAAAAAAGAAATTGTAAATGACTCCTTCATGCTTAGAGCATCTCAGCGGTCTGTTAAAAAATTCTTTTGTGTAAAATATACACTGTCACATATGATTTATAAATTTTTTTCATCTCCAACAGTTTGTTAAGATACATTGTTACATCACTAATGTGTATAAGGGTTGTATATTTTACACAGTTTTTTTACACAGTCACGTAAGCATATTTTCTCTCTTCTCCCCTTTTCCCACTCGCGATTCTCTTTCTTCTTTCTCATTCCTTTAGGCCTCTTTGTTTCCAACTTTTAGAGCGCCATAGAGAAGAATTTGCAAGTGGCGGCAAAGTAAGAATTGTTTAACCATCTTTTATTTTTCTTTTAGATTTTTTTTATCCTTTTACATTTACATTGTATTCTAGTGAGATAAATATGTACTATCTAAAGATTAGATATATATTTTAATCACGATTTTATATAATTGTTGTTTGATACAGTTATACAAATTATTATTATTTTTTTCTTTTTTGGTGAATCACAATTGTTATTGCATATTTTCTGTTTCCGTAAAAAGTGAAATATAGAGGAAAATTATTATTTTTTTCCTAATTGAGGAGGATTGAGACGTGAGGTTTAATCGCGAAAAAGTAAATGAATAAGTTTGTAAAAGTTATGTAGAGCTTTGAGTATGACACGTGGTTAGTTGTTATTGGAGGATATTTTTTTACACAAAAGGTATTAAACAATCGTTGGAGCTAAAAATAGATAGTATAAATTTTTTGTATAAATCTACTCTGACACATCAGATTTACACAAAAATATATACACAACGGTTGGAGTTGCTCTTAACATGTAACATAACTCTTTCCTCTTCTTTTTTTTTTTTTCTTTTTTTCTTTCATATGAACAAGAAACTTTTAAATTTGATTTTGGATCAAATCATATTTATCACATATATAGTTAGATATAGTAATATATGAATGGGGTTAAGAAAAAAAAGCTTTGCAATAGAATTGCCAACAAATTCAAATCAAGTCTGAAGATGGTGACTAATGACATATATTAAGGCTAAAATTGTCTAGTTACCACCCTTGGATGCCCTTACATACTAGGGCAATTGCACCCCTATGAAGGGATGCCCCTACAAACTAGGGCAAATAATTTTTTTAATAAAATTAAAACAAAATTATTGTTTTGACATTTCATTTTTTTATTTTCACCGTCTAATAATCTTGAAAACAATATGAGCTTATACACAGCGTGTTCTTCTTATTATTATGTTAGGTACGATCTTACACATTGCCACCACAAGGCAAGCATGCAAAAGAACTCAAAATCGTGCTAATATCATTAAAATTGTAACAACCATAAAAGGTTATATCAAAAAGAAAAAAAAAAAAAAAAATTTGTCAACACGTGATGCATATAATAATACTTAAAATGAATTACACAAACAACATGAAAGCTCATCAAATTACAGAAAAGAAAAAAAATAATAATAAAATAAAAAAAAAATAAAAAATGAAAGCTCATCAAACAACACATACTATATTGTAAACATAATAAAAAAAAATAATGAAGTTTACCAAAATGCTAAAACGAACATAAAAAAAATACTATTTATTTGTCCAAACTACTCTTACTATTTTCATACATAACACTTTTGTTTGGAACATAAATGTACCATAAAATAATTTTTTTTAATTATAATAATAAAAAAAAACGATCACTTTCGAATTTTCATTTTCATAAACATTGTGCTTCAAAAAAAAAATACATGTTTAGTAACAAAACATACCGGTCAAAAGCTACCCCTAGCATTTTTAACATTTTCAAAACATATCGTTAGATAACTCATTCAACGTTTAATTATTAAAAAAATTAAATATTTTAATAATATATTAAATGACATTTCCATTAAATTTTAAATAGAGACTTGACTAATAATTAAATATATATTTAAAATTCAAATAAATATTAAAATATATATATATTTACACTTAGCAAGAATATTTAGTAGTTTGTAAACTGAGTTAGCATTTTATTTGTCATGCCCCTCCATGCAAGGACAAAATGCAGATATATGCCAATATCATTTCCCGTGTTTCCAATCTCATAGTATCATAAGGAAGAAACTTCCTGAAAGAATAATGACGGGTTTTTTATTTGTGTCTCAGTCTATCATAATGAGTGGTGAGTTACACTGCATCAAAACTATTGTGTATGAAAAATTACGTGTGAGTGGATGGTGGTAAGTATCAATGGGTTATGCTATGGTCTGCCCAAGTGTAATGGTGTGAGTGTGTTGGAGGTAATATATGAGTGTTTTGTGTGAAACTACTTTCATTTCTGAACTGACTCCATATTTGGTCTCTGGGCGAGGGCTGAATAACGTAGTAGAGCTAGATAGCGAACGGCTACTTTGCAGTGTGGGTTTACGGTAGCTTGTGCTTAGCTGACTTTCCTGATTGAATAGACTTCCTCGCTCTTCTTCCTGTCTTGCTTGCGGTTGACCTTCCAGAATCTTGAAAATCAACATGGACGAGAAGTGCACAACTTGCGAAGGCATAATCCTTTTCCACAACCCAGAAGAAGAGAGAAGGTTGTGTGCCTGTCAGGAAGACGAAAAGGTGAGTGTTCATCAGATTCCCAACCAAACCTGTAGACCCACCATGATGAACAGATTGCTTCCTGTTTCATCAAACAACATACTGTCTTCAGTGTTTGCTTCCTGTTTCATCAAACAACATACTGTCTTCAGTGTTACTAAATTATCAGTTAGTACATACTAGGGCTAATCTTGACACCAAGGAAAAATCTCAAACAAACAAAAAAAAATTAAAACAAGAAAACAAAACCCTAAAAAGAAATTGAAACCCTAATACTGAAATAAAAGAAAAAAGAAATCCTATGATGATATCGAACAAGAAATTAAAAAACGAAAAAACAAAATAATAGAACAAGAAAATAAAGAAGCAGAAAATCAAAAGCCAAAAAAAAAAACCGAACACTAACCGTCAATGATATTCTTCATGATCTATAATCCCATGAAATTTATCAGACATAGCATCACAAATACTACACAAAAAAGTACTTACCTTTTCCACTTCAGTACACGCACACAGCCTCCAATCTTCTTTTTGGTCGTGGAAAATGATCTGCAAGTTTTGCACATCGAGAGTTGTTGATTCGGTTCAAAAATGAAAAAACTCTGAACCGAATCAACAACTCTAGTGTGATCAAAAACTCTTGATGGATGAGATGTGCAAAATTTGTTCTAGTGTGATCCTTTTCCACAATGAAGAGGAAGATAAGAGGTCGTGCACGTGTACTGAAGAGGAAATGGAAAATTAACTCGAGAGTTGTTAACAAGGGCGGATCCAAGATTTCTCAATGGGGGTGGGCTAAATCAAAACATATCTAAAAGTCTAAATATGTATGATATACGTAGTATCATATTAGATTAGTAAAGTAAGTTATAAATATATAATATTAATTATTGTCTCTGTGTGTAACTTTGAGTGCATCAGAGCTTTCCATTTCATTGTTGTACACTTCCTAAATTCGATGCATGAAACAAGCCAAAAGCTCACAACCCTATCGTTGGTTCACAATTGTCGTACATTTTTGTGCCCTCAACCATATATATTTCTG